GCTTTGTGGGAGCCTAGGCAGTTTGGATGCTCAACTTACTAGACCTGGATGGAGGTGGGGGTTCCTTGGACTTCTCACAGGACAGGGAACCCTGATTGCTTTTCGGGCTGAGGGGGGGGGACTTAATTGGGGGAGGGGGAAGGAAATGGGAGGCGGTGGCAGGGAAGAGACAGAAATCTTTAATAAATAAATGAATTAAAAAAAAAAGGAAAAGTGAGGGTGTTCTTTTTTTTTAAGCATCCAGTCTCAGTCTTAACTGGAAACATAGTTAAGAGCGGGAAAGGACAGGACTCTTATTTTCCCTCAGACCAAGAAGTGAATCGGGACACCCCTACACCCACAATTCTGAGACAGATGCGTCAGCCAACACTGGGCTTCCTCAGAGCAGACTGGAGACTGTGTGAGAAGGTTCATTGGGAAAGTGACCCCAGAAGTCACGGCAGAGGATTCAGGAGAGGCAGGGAAGAGCATGTCAGTAGCAGGGGATTGCTGTGGATACCTGAGAGACTGAGTACGTGTCAGATTGCCCACAGAAGGCAAGGAAGCTAGGTGCCACGTGCTCACTACCTGCGCCCTTCACCAGATGAGGGCTGCACCAGAGAAGCTGACTACTTTCGCGTGTTTTCTGTCGCTGTGATAAACACCATGACAAAGGACAGCTCAGGAAAGGACGGGCTCACTCCTGCTCACAGGTTACAGTCTGTTATGAAGGGAAGTCAAGGCAGGAACCTGGAGGCAGAAACTGAAGCAGAGGCCATGGAAGGACACGTCTTACTGGCTTTTCACAGATTCAACTCACATTTATCTTACACAGTCCAGGACCACCTTCTTTGGAGGATGCCACCCACAGAGGGCGAGGCCTTCCAACATCTATTAGAAATCAAGAAAATGCCCCACAGACACGCCCTGAGGTTAACCTGAGGAAGGCAGCTGAAGTTCATTCTTCCTAAGTGTGTCAAGATGACAACCAAGATTAGCCATGACTGTACTGCACATGCGTGAGTGGCCTTCTGTGCAGAAGGGCCTTCAGGGAGAAAAGCGTGGTCAGATGGAAGGATGTCCACCCTCTGAGGGATGGTGGGGGCACTCCAGTCCTGCTACAGACTGCTGGCTTTCATCTCCTTTCTTGTCCTGTGGTTGAAACTCTTGTAGGGATATGCCCCCCACTTTGATCTTAATGGAACAATGGGTACCATCTTTCCATGCAATAGATTTCCCCCTCTTCCAATTCCTCCCAGATCCTCTCCCCCTCCCTAATTACCCAACATGAACTCATTCATCATTTCTGGCATTTTCCATCTTTCTGCCTCCTCTTCCACACAAACCCCTCAGTCTTGAGGGGGAGGGATTTGATGAGATATCCTATTTAGACCCAAATGCTCCAGCCAGGTGGTGGTGGCACACACCTTTAATTCTAGTGCTCAGGGGGCAGAAGCAGGGAGATTTTGTGATTTTGAGGCCAGGTTGGCCTATAAAGGGAGTTCCAGGATAACCATGACTGTTACACAAAGAAACCTGTCTCAAAAAACCCAAAAACAAAACAAACAACAACAACAACATCAACAACAAAAGAACTGAGAGCTCCAAGTTTCTTCCTCACTACACACTGTCCGATGTTGGATGGCTGTGTTAATTCCAGTCTATCTTAAGAGGCAGCTTTTCTGATGCAGGCTGAGCAAGACACTGAACCATGTGCATAGCAAGCTGTCACTGTCAGCCATTTTATCGCTCTGTTCCTTTAGCAGGATGATAGCTGTAGGTTTTCTCCTACTGTCTTAGTTCATGTCAATGGAACAGTGTCAAGTATGGGTCCACTTCCTGGAGTGGGCCTTAAACCCAGTCAAAACATCTGTGCCCTACTGCACTAGTAAGTCTAGCAGGCACATAATGTTGTAGCTCCCAGTGTTCCCAGCCGGGTGATACTGATGGTTACCTTTCTCCTCTGGTAGCAGGTAGACTACTTTCCAGCCCCATGAACACTGGTCAGAGGGGTGAAGTTTCTAGATGACCACCTAACATCTTCTCCACCTTAAACAGAATTTATATCCAAAGCTTTGCCATGGACACCCCCAGGGTGAGGAGTCCCCCTGCACCTTAAATGTGGGCTGAGCTCTGGGATCAACTTTGAGACACAGGCGAAGGCTGGACCTGTGGCTGCGTGGTTAGGCTTGCACCTTTCGCTCCTGTGACATCTTGAGATGTACTTGATAGCTGCTGCCACTGTAGCCCATCTCCTGGAACAGAAGGAGAGCAAAGCAAACCAGCATGGAGATCAGTGTAGAGCTTCACGGCGAGCCCATGGCAAAGTTCTGGATGTGAACTCTATTAAAGGTGGAGAAGACCTGACACCAGCTATTTAGTACCCCAGTGTCTCCATCTGACCTCGACAATCCCCCTTTTAAAGTCCCCATTATTTTCCTTTTAAATTTTTTATATAATTAAAGTTACTATGTGTGTGATGCATGCAGTGTGGGGGCATGCATGCCGCAGGGTGCAGCATGTGGAGGTTACAGAATTGTTGCAGGATATTTGATCACACTGTGAACCCCAGAATTGCATTGTTTACTGTAAAATAAACTTGCTTCTAGCTGTGGAATGGCTCAGCCCAAGCACACACCTTTAATCCAAGAGCTTTCTGCTTGAATATTGTAAACAGGATTAAGTAAATTTAGCCTTAAGTCTAGGAGTGGAGCAAGCAACCAGGTGACAGAAAAAAAAAAAAGAAAAAAAAAGAGAGAGTAAAAGGGAGTCGCGAAGGAGACAGACTCAAAGGATGTAGAAAGGAGGGGCAGCCAGTTGCAGGAGTTTTTTTATTTGAGGCAGAATAGGAGAAAGTTCTCTTTCTGGGAAGGTTGCGGCAGAAGAGCCGGGTGCTTTCTCTGCCTTTCTGAGCTAGCAGGTTTTCATCCCAGGATCTTACTGGTAAAACAGAATAATAGAGACTTAGCTAAAAACAACAAAGGACAACTTATGGGAGTCGATGTTTTTCCTTCCATATGGGTCCTGAGGATGAAACTCAGGCCGTCAGGATTGGTGGCAAATGTCTTTACTTGCTCAGCAATATGAAATCTCTGCTTGTGAGATACATGAACACACTTCCTACCCACCCGTCCTCCTGTGGAGAGAGTGACAGACAGCCAAAGTCTCTCTAGCATTGGGCCAGGGTCACTGACCAGGCGGCTCTCCAGAAAACATTTTAACCAGGGTCACTGACCAGGCGGCTCTCCAGAAAACATTTTAACCTCCACATTTGAAGTCAGATAGTCCTTGCTGTTCCTGCTCCACTGAGCCCAGACTGATGCTGGATGTCCTTTGTCCTTTCAAAGCCTCATCCCCTCCTCCCACTTGCAGAGACTCTTTGGGGGAAGTTGTACTGCAGTCCAGTGTGGGTCCACACCAAAGCCCCAGCATCCACTGAAATTTAAGGTGGATTTTAAGGAGGCTCCCTCAAGGTTGATTGCCAATGCCCTGTAGACCTGGGGCTCCCTGGCTGGTGTGTTCCTCTCTTCCTTATTCCCTCTCCAGGCTGGGAGACTGTTTCGTACCCTGTGTGAGGCTGTACCACACATCTCACTCAACAAAGCCTCTGAATCCAGGAGCTAACACCTCAGAAAGAGAGTGAAACTCAACAGACCGTAGCAAGCTCTAGAAGATGGACCACAGAAAAGTGTTCCAGGATCACTGATGCCAATTACGAGGGGCTCTGGCAGGGTCCATGTTACCTCCAGGATCCAGAGTGTGCGTTTGTGGGACTGTATTCCCGTGCTGTAGACTCATGAAGAGCCCTTGTTTGGTCTTACCTCATATGCCAGGCTTTACCTGGATGAAGTAGGGTGGGAAGGAGTGGTCCCCCCCCCCCATGGGGCTAAACCACTGAACCATAAGGAAGTAGGGTGACCCCAGCCTGAGCAGCAGGTTTGGGTTGCAGCTCTGCCGCTCACTCATCAATGGAGGAGTTTAATGAGACTGGCTCTGTGCCTGGGTCACAGAGAGGAACCAGACAGGAGGCTCACAGAGAGGAACCAGACAGGAGGCTCACAGAGAGGACCCAGACAGGAGGCTCTGGCCACGGCACTTTCCATCTTAAAGTTCGTGGGAAGGCAAGGCTGGCCTGCTCCTGCCTCTGGCTCCCAATGACATAAGCCAGGCTGCAACAAAGAAGAAGGCTGCCGGCCTGCCTAGCTTCAAGACGCCAAAAAAAGTCAAAAAGCCAACATTGACCCAAACAAGTCCATGCTGCTGTGTCTTCTTGTCCACTCCCCGGCATCACGAGTTGCTGTATTTAAGAGCAGACACAGCAGGAGCAGGTGTTTTGATTCAGCTGTCGTCATCTCTGAGCACCGATTTCTGCCCCTCCATTGCCCTCCCAGCTCTAGCTGGGCTGGGAACACAACATGGGCTTCTGCTGGCCATTTTCCCTCCCTTTCATGTCCGCTTAGTCCACGTCACAGAGTCAGGTTCTGGAATGATGAGAGTGTCACCGAGGCACAGCCACCGAGCAGCTGTGTTCTCCTTGTGGGGACAGGGAGGTTGGTCTTAATTTTGTACAGTCCCACACAGTTTGGTGGGGTAATGGCTCAGGGTACTGATGCCTGTAGAGCTCTGGGGAGCGTCCCACTGTTCTCTGGTACTTACTGTGAGGTGCTCAGAATGCAAGGATTCATAGCTCCCTGGAGACAGGACAAGTGGGTGATGGTGGAGGGTCCCCTACATTCTACTGTCTCATCTGGCGCTCCGAAGTCCTGCCTGGCCTGCCATGCCATTCCTGGCAAATAGTTATGAATAATGGATTATTATCCTCCTGTGTAGCACCGCCTGGAATGTCCCCTACCTGTACATTATGATGGTGTATTTCACCATCGCTAGGGTCTACAGCAACCCAGCCTTGCCCCCAGCTTCTTGGCACTACTACCCTTCCAACAGCCCTACAAGTCCTCTCTGGAGCTCTCTGAGACACCATCCTCAAAGAAGGACAGCTCTCCTCCTTTGGCCTCAAATTTGCCAACTGCTCTGGGGTGGCTTTATGTCATATCCGAGGTCACTAGTGAGGGGCAGGGTCTTTATCTTCGCATCAGTCACTCTGTCTGCAGGGCAGGCTTGGACTCCATCAGAAAGTCAGTTGCTTCCCAGGCCTGAAAGAAGACAGGATGCTGGTTAGCTTGGGGTGGAGACTTTTCTCAGGACTGACAGGCACTGGGGGGAGACCGGTCAACCCTATTCTCTGAATCCCACCTCCCAGACTGCAAAAGAAAAAAAAAATACTCCCCTAGCTCTTTGCTAAGGTTTCATTCCTCAGACCCCACTCATGCCAACCACATGGTGTTCACTGGTGCCTCTCCCTCTCTCTCTCTCTCTCTCTCTCTCTCTCTCGCACGCACACACACACACACACACACACACACACACACAGAGAGAGAGAGAGAGAGAGAGAGAGAGAGAGAATTTAAAACAAGTCTTCAAAAGGATGCAGTCTTGGGTTTTACCCTAGGCACATGTTTGACTGGATCCTTCCATCCACACACATGGAAGTGTGAGCATGGTATGAGGTCCTAGTTCATCTGCCTGGAGTTTGGATAATAAGGTAGGTGCAAGAGGGAACTGCTGAGATCTTCTGGTTGAAGTGATGAACACAGCATCTGAAACTGTTTCAGTGGGTAGGGAGGTTGAGGGTAAGGTTGGGAAGAGCATGGTGAAGAGGGAGCTGCAGCCAGCTTGAAGTGGATCATGGAACCTGGCTGGGAGTGAGGATGGTGGGCTCTGTCTATGTGGTACGACCATGACAGAATGGTGAGAATAGCCCACCGGATGGCTCGTGTCTACAGTCCTGCAGGGCCAGCACTGTGTATGAGCCACACTGTGAAATTAAGCAGAGATGCCCCACTTTAAAATATTCTTTCAAAATATTTATTGATTTTTTTGTCTTACTCACAGTGTGTGTGTGTTTGTGTGCCTGTATGCCGTGGCATGTGTGTAGAGGACATGGACAATTTGTGGCCACTGTTTCTTTCCTTTCACTACACAGATGCTGGCAATGAACCCCAGGCCACCAGGTCTGGACCCTCACCAGCTGAACCGTCTCACCCGCACCCTCACATATGCAGACCTGTCCCAACCCAACTCACTCAGGACACGTCCTAGCTTACAAAAGTGGTGTGCTCAGCTCCAAGGCCTTTTAGACTCCACAGGCCACACCGCAGACCCCAATGGGACCGGAATTTCTGCAGGTGGCTTGGTAATTCTAGTATACAGACACGGCTGAATTTCCTAGTTTCATCTTTCCAGGCGGAGGACATGTGGGGTGAGGGCTGGGACAAACTCAGGCCTCAGGTCTGAGGCAGCTGTGCCCAGGAGGGCTGAGGAAGGATGCCACCCAGCAGAGCTGAGCACACCACTTGAGGACATGGCTCCTCTCACGAAGGGCTCACCACACAGCCTTTCAGTACCATTTCTGCTGAGCACACTGTGTCCCAACTGAGCAACGGAGCTGGAGTAGCAGGGGTGATGGCACTCCTGGACCGGACACCGACAGCATAGACGCGTCACTAAATGGGACGCCACCTTCATCATCAGGGCCACCTTCCCTGCTGCCAACTCTGGCACTCAGTACATACGAGAGACTTTATCTCTGAAGAGGCTCACTGACAGGTGAGGTGACTGCTGTTTATGACACACAGATCACAGCATGACAATGGCAGAGATGGCTTTATTTGAGGCCTTGTTCTTCCTAAACCTCTGAGAGCCAGTGTGTTCCCTCCCTCCCTCCCTCCCTCCCTCCCTCCCTCCATTCTTCTGTCCCTTCTTCCCTTCCTCTCTCTCTGACCCCTGGAAGGCTCCCAAGCAGGAGTTCAAGGCTCCTTGGTAGGGCCTTTCCCTGGCACCTCTTGGAGAAAAAGGACTTGTGGTTATGGGTTGCTCCAAGGGACGTTTGAATGTTAATGTTAACACTTCCAAATTGGAAGATTAAGGAAGATTATAAAAGGGGCTGCAGAAAGGAGCTAACCCCATTTCCTCCGCTGCTCAACCCATGCTTGGCAGCGGAAGGCAGCTTTGACTCCACGGATGACTAATGCCCCTATGGGGCACATATACCTGTCTGCGGGGGCCCCTAGCAAGAATTTAAACGTTTGCTGGCATTTTTCTGGATCCTAAATCAAGCCGATTCATGCTGGATCTTGGTGCATTCTCAGAACAGGGAGCCTTATGTTAAATTGCCCGCTTTGGGCTCCTGTTGCCACTGAAGTCACAAATTCCTAGTAATGAGTGCTGGGAAGAAGCCCTGACAGGGTAGCAACCCAAATGAAGATCAGGGAGACCCAGGCAGGGCAGAGTGTTTGCTTTGGCTGGGAAGGTGCTGGCCTGCCTGCAGTTTGCCTGACAGCAAGCCTGAGAAGTGAGCTTCATACACAAGGCCAGACAGTGGGCCCTGGGCCATCTGCCCTGTCTAGTTAGGTCTGACCTGGGCGGGGGGATGGCCCCGTGCCCCCCTCTCCATAGCTTCCCCTGAGTCTGCACGGTCACTAAGAAACCAGGAGGCTTTTATTTTCCCCTTTGGGAATAGCAGCTTGATCTTGGGACTTGTGTGTGGTGTGTGATTTGATGAATTACTCCCAGGTTTCTGACTGTTTGGAGAACAGCACTCCCATCCTGGTCCCCCGGACCCCCAGGCCAAGAGGCACAGCGGAGAGGGCAGCCCTTGCTGGCTGTGGCTTTCCAGACAGTGTGGCTCAGTGGAGAGAGCAGAACACAGGCTTCCTTGGCTTTGGCTTTAGCTGTCTAACCTTAGGCAGCATCTTCAAGTGCAGCGAGCCTCAGGCCCCTTACTTGTCAGAACAAGGGTCCAGATCGTGCCTCTGTGTGTGTGTGTCTTCTAGTGTGTCAGGAACAACAAATGCACTACTATAAATGAAAAACGTCGTCAGTTCTGACTAGCCTCTGTGTAGGTGTGTTCCTGGGTGCACACGTGTGTCTATGTGCGTGTGCATATGTGAGTTGTGTGCTGGTGCACATGTGTTCATGTGGAGGCCAGAGTTTAATCTTTGGGATTGTTACTGGGCTGGCATTCATCTAATTTTTGCTTAATTAATGAACTTAGAATGGGTGCTGTGGCCTGCATGTGGAGCTCAGAGGACAACTTGTGGGGTGAGGGGGGCTGGTTGTTGCAGTTCCCCATGGGTACTGGGGATCAAAGCCATCTGGCTTGGCAATAAGCACCTTCACCTGCTGAACCACCTCACTGGTCCCACCTTTTATTTTCAGACAGGGTTTCCCACCTAGGCTGGCCAGAGAGACCAGGGAGGGGCCTGTCTGTCCCTGCTTCCCCAGCATTGGGGTTATGAGACCAGGGAGGGGCCTGTCTGTCCCTGCTTCCCCAGCGCTGGGTTATGAATGTGTGTGTCCATGCCCAGCTGTTTATATTGGTTCTGGGGATGACACTTGGGTCCTTGTGTCTGTGCAGCAAACATTACCTATGGGGATCTCTCCCCAGTCCTGATACTTGTCTTAAGTAAAGTGCTCATCCCAGGTGGTGGTGGCACACATCTTCACTCCAACACTAGGGGGACAGTGCAGGCAAGTCTTTGAGTTCAGGGCCAGCATGGTCTACAAAGTGAGGACCAGGGCTATAGAGAGAAACCCTGTCTCGAAAAACAAAAGAAAAAGTGAAGTGCCCTGGCTTGTGGCTCTCTAGACTGTAAGGGACAGTGCCAGCCGGAAAGTCCTCGCTGACACCAACCTTGGACTCGCATCTCTTTTCCCATGAGAGTTGGGTGACATTTCTCTTATTACAAAGGTGGTTGCAGCACAACTTAAAAATACTGCTTCCTTGTGGGCTCTGGGGGGGGGGATGCTGCTTCCTTGTGGGCTCTGGGGGGGGGATGCTGCTTCCTTGTGGGCTCTGGGGGGGGATGCTGCTTCCTTGTGGGCTCTGGGGGGGGATGCTGCTTCCTTGTGGGCTCTGGGGGGGGATGCTGCTTCCTTGTGGGCTCTGGGGGGAGTGGAGAGGGGGGATGCTGCTTCCTTGTGGGCTCTGGGGGGGGGGATGCTGCTTCCTTGTGGGCTCTGGGGGGGGGATGCTGCTTCCTTGTGGGCTCTGGGGGGGGGGATGCTGCTTCCTTGTGGGCTCTGGGGGGAGTGGAGAGGGGGGAGTGCTGCTTCCTTGTGGGCTCTGGGGGGGGGATGCTGCTTCCTTGTGGGCTCTGGGGGGGGATGCTGCTTCCTTGTGGGCTCTGGGGGGAGTGGAGAGGGGGGAGTGCTGCTTCCTTGTGGGCTCTGGGGGGGGATGCTGCTTCCTTGTGGGCTCTGGGGGGGGATGCTGCTTCCTTGTGGGCTCTGGGGGGGATGCTGCTTCCTTGTGGGCTCTGGGGGAAGTGGAGAGGGGGGAGTGTTGCTTCCTTGCGGGCTCTGGGGGGGGATGCTGCTTCCTTGTGGGCTCTGCGGGGAGTGGAGAGGGGGGAGTGCTACTTCCTCTGGGGGGGGGATGCTGCTTCCTTGTGGGCTCTGGGGTGGGGATGCTGCTTCCTTGTGGGCTCTGGGGGGAGTGGAGAGGGGGGATGCTGCTTCCTCTGGGGGGGGGATGCTGCTTCCTTGTGGGCTCTGGGGTGGGGATGCTGCTTCCTTGTGGGCTCTGGGGGAACTTTAGTAGTCAACTCGATTGGACTGAAAGTACCTAAGATGTCAGAAAAATCATTTCTAGGTGTGGCATTTGCTGAGAGAATTAACAAGCAGGGAAGTGTCACAGTAGACTAGGGGTCCAGACAGGATAAAAGGGGAAACCGAGAAAGCCTTCCTGGCTCCATCCTGTGAGTCATTCCCTGTCCTTCCTGCCAAGGTAGCCTAGCGGTTTTGACACCAGGAGCCCAAAGAGAACTCTTTTCCTTAGAGCCGTCTGTTCAGGTCATAGCAACTAAAGGTGAAGGACACGCCGCCCCCCCCCCCCCCCCCGCCGCCATCAAGTGCACGTCATCCTAGCAGCATTTCTGTCCACAGACAACCTCATCTTCAGTCTCCACGGAGCGACACAGCCTCCTGGCCTCCTGCTTTTCTTCAGTTGTTCCCAGCTCCCTCCTCCTCTGCACAGCTGCCCTCCCAGGGGAGCTGCCTGTATCTCTGCTTTGCTGGCTTCCTCCTGCACTCCCCACACATGCCTGGCCACCATGAGATGGCACTTAGCCACCTGTGCTGCGTGGTGGGCCCATGCTGCTGTCCTGGCGCTCACACAGTGGGCCTCCAGTGACAGCATGGTTGTCTGATGTGAGGATGGCAGCTTCCTTCAGCTCCGGTGCCCATCCACGTGCAAGCTGCAGGCAGGTGGTGGAGAGACTGAGCATAGCATCCACCCAGGCAAGGGTCCGCCATGTGACCCAAGACTTCCTCCATTTATGCTGTCTGTGGTTTGCGTTTGTGACAAGGCTTAGTTCTCCATGTGGTGAGGCTAGCAGGTGAGACCTTTAGGAGGTGAGGTCTATTGGGGGGTCCTCGGGTCACTGCAGAAGCCTGAGCCCTGAATCCCTCTCTGGGCTCCTGTCTCCCCTCTTACTCCCATCCGCCATGGGGTTCTGAGAAGAGGAGAGCTGCTGCAACTATTTTGTGTGTCCCTGAACCCCCAGAACTGGGTTAAAATGAACCACTCTTCTTTACTAAGCTACCCAGGCTTCACAGTTCGTTCCAGCGATGGAACACAGACAGACAGGCACACCATCTGTCATGCCATCATCATGTCAAAGGGCAGCCTTTGACAAGCCATGACACTGCGAAGTCTTTGGACTGTTGGGATGAGGCAAGGACATAATGTAAGTATAGGGTAGGGGTCTGGCCTTGTTCCTGTGGCTGTCTGGGACTGGCAAAGTCTTGTTCACAGCATGGCTAGCTGCCAAGTGAGCAGGCCAGTGAGGAAAGTCAGGAGGGGCCTTCTGCTCTTCCTGCGGTGGGACAGGTATTTCCTTCATGGCTGACACAGTGTCCCCAGTCCTGGGCCTTCAAGTGGTGTTTACATTCTCAACTCCTTGGCAAGAACTATGCTTCAAGGGGAGTGAAGACTCTAGCCAGGGATTCAATGAATACCAAACCACCCTCAGCTCCTTCCTGTTTAGAGAAGGCTGTACAGGGAGCGAGAGATGTCTTCAGGGGACATAGAACAACCAAGGTCTGGAAAAGAGAGACAGAGCTTGCCCAGGAGCAGCAGGAGCCCACAAGCCACCGGCCCACACATCTGCCCCCGGGACTCGGAGAAGCAGGGCTCAGCTCACACGAGGTGACCCAGACTACTGCTGTGGCTGCCTCTTTCCTTTGCAGCTTCCTGCTTACTCCCTGTGTGGGACAGAAGAGTAGGGAGAGCCAGGCCTTGGCGGGTTTCCAGGGGATGTTCTTACATTTCTTCTGCAGAACGTTCTGCCTGGCCTTGATGAATGCCAGGATGTCAGAATCTGTCTGGCTGTCTCCAGTGAGAGGGATGGATGACATTGGCCTTTCGGAGATGCTAAGGACAAACACAAGTCACAACTTTAAAAGTCACTGCACAGTAATCCTGGATGTTGCTTTTCCAAAGTGATTTCCTATCTTACTTAATTTTGCTTTCTAAGGATTAAAACGTGTGTGTATGTGTGTCTGTCGGTCTCCATGTGTATATCTGTGTGTCTCAGTGTGCGTGTGTGCGTATGTCTGTCTCTCTTTCTCTATGTGTCTGTGTGTATGTCTATGTGTGTGTGTCTGTCTCTGTGTGTATTTCTGTCTGTCTGTCTTTCTCTATGTGGGTTTCTGTCTATCTGTCTGTTTCTGTGTGTGTGTGTCTGTTTTTCTGTATGTCTCTGTGTGTGCACATGTCTGCACACGTGTGTGTCACGCACAAACACACATCATCAGAGCATAACTTGTGGCAAATGTTTTCTCCTACTGTGGGCTCTGGGACGAGCTCAGGCCATCACACTTGTGGAACATGCGCCTTGACCCACTGAGCTGGCCTTCCTTTCTGCTTTGGTTGTTGGTTTCTATCTGACCTCCCAGCTTTCCACTTCCTCTGTGTGAAGGCCACATCAGTTCTTTCACTGTGCTACTAAATCCCCCTTCCTATCTCTCCCAGAACAGAATTCACGCCCTTCCCCAAGACTTCCTGGCTTCCCTGTGCTCTGACTCTGGTTTTCTTCCCAGCTTGCTTTCTGCTACTTCACTAAACCAATTCCTTCCAGTCTTGAGGCCTTGCTCCAGCTGTTGCTTCCCACTGCAGCTGCTCCACACCTACTCTTAGACAACCCAATAGTGCCAGACAAGAGACTGGAGCAGAAGGAGGGGAGGGGCCAGTAGCCTTCCCTTTATCAAGAGAATTTCTGGAAATTTCATGCAACTCTCTGTTTACAAATTTCATTGGCTGTGTGGCTGCAGAGGATGCTGGGAAATGTAGTTTATTAACAGTGGCACTTTGGCTAAATATGGTTGTGATCTGAAAGAATAGCAGTTTCTGCCTCTGGGGCAAAGAGCTACACCTTGTCATCAGTTCCTGGGTACAGGGAGACATTATCAGGATGTCAAATCTATGTTGGGTGTGAAAGGAGAAGCTAGTTTGAGTAAGTCTGGGATGAGAAAATAGGAAGGGCAGGACCACAACCTCCTAGGGAGGCTAGTCAGCTCTAGCAGAACCGCCCAAATGGCCTTATTTAATAATTAATTAATTAATTAATTTTAAACAAATTCCTACTACATAGACTGACCTATGTAGATCATCTGCCTCTGTCCCCCAAGCGCTGGGACTAAATGGTGCCACCATCCCTGGAGCATTTTATACACACATCAGAAGATGGAGGACCTCAGAGATTTGGGGACAATTTCTCCAGTTTAGAGAGTCAGCACACAAGAGAAGATTTGCGGGAGTCAGTCCCAGCTTCTGTCTACAGCAATTGGACCCTCAAGGCCCCTCAAGTTGTTGGGGATGCAGACTTTAGGGCTCATGCTGTCCACTGTAGTGGCTGTCACAGTATTAGGAGAGAGGGCATACCTGTCTTGCAGCTGGGTCCTGGAGCTACTGGGCTCTTGGCTGTGCTGACTGGGGCATGGGGAGGGGAAGATTCTTCTGGCATCCCTGTCGTAGCTAAAATAAACCAACAGAAGCCAGAAGTCAGGAGGAAGTGAGGAGGAGAGTCTCAGGGCGCGCATTTCCTCTCCAGATTCCCATGCTAAAGCCCTAGTTTCCAGAGTGATGGCATATGGAGGTGGGCTTTGGGGAAGTGACCAGACAGATGACATCTTGTGGGTGGAGCCCTCAGGATGGGCCTGGTGCCTCTGCTAGAGGAAGACAGACTAGAGCACGCTGTCTGGGCGCTGCAAGGAGGGAGCTGTAGAAACCATAGGCTGGACCCAGCCCCTAAAGTGGTGGAGACAGAGTCTTTGGGAGGCGAAGATGTCATGAGGCAAAGTCCTCAAGATGGGGATTAGCAATTTTACAAAAAAAACATGAGTTCCTACTGGGCGTGGGGGAGGGCAGGATCCTTACCAGATATCCAGACTGCTAACTCCATCTTTAGCTTCCCGGCCTTGAGAACTGTGACAAACACAGAAAGACAAAAGAGTGTGGAACTCAGCACAGGGGATGAAGGCTCACCCGGCATACACAAGATCCTGGGTGTGTCTCAATACCAGGAAAACCAACTACCAACCAACCTGCCAACCAATGAGCCACTCAGACTCTGACATTTTGTTACAGCAACCAGAGAAGATTAAACTGGCAATCTGCCTCCCCCGCTGCCCACCCCCCCATCTTGGAAGGCTACATGGTATTTTTATTGTTAATCTGCTCACCCCCATCCCCTTCTATCTTGGAAGACTACAGGGTGATTTCCATTGTTATTCTGCACACACACACACACACACACACACACACCACCACCACCACCTTGGAAGGCTACACGGTTATTTCCATTGTTATTCTGCACACACACACACACACACACACACGCACGCACACACACACACCGCCATCTTGGAAGGCTACACGGTGATTTCCATTGTTGGAGCAAACATTGGCTGAAGGAAGATGGACAGCAGCAATGACTGCCATGATCACAGCTGTCGTTTGTGGACAAGTCAGCCATCTGCCAGTGCTCTGTAGACGTCATACCCTCTGACAACAGTGAAGGACCAGAAACACAGCTCCACACTGTCACCCTCAGCAGGCTGGGCCTGCATTAGACCTTTGAGGGCATGGACTCGGGAAAGAATTTCAGGACAGGGCAATGTATGAGGCAGAGCTGGAGTGTAATAGATCTGCTAAAGGAAATGCAGCTGGAGAATAAGTGGGCACCCCAGAGGGATGGGCTTTTCCAAGAAGAGCCATGTCAAGTGTAGGTGCCAGCTCAGCACCTACCGTCTCAGCAGAAGCCATATAGACTTCTGGTGGCTCTCAAGTCACCTCTCAAAAGATTGCTGGGGAGGCACTCACTCCTCCTCCCGTTCCCTTCTGAGACGTGAGACTATAGGGTGTCTCCAGAGACCCCTTGGGTGAAACTATAACCTGATAGGTGATTCCAGAGCCACTAGGGCTGCACAAGGGACCTAGGACATGTCCTCCCCGTTTCTGTTGAGAGTGCACCTAGACAACTAGAAGGAAGAAAGGCCTTAGTTGCGAACTGTGCTGGAGTCCTCGCCTCTCTGCTGGCAGGCCATTTCTGATTCTGGGGTGAGGTCCTTTTTCTGTTGTTGGCCCCTGCTGTGATCTGGCCAGAAACTGTCCCTCGCAGAGGTGTTAATGGCTTGGCTGCCAGCTTTGGGAATGAGACTGGATCCTGAGGTCCCTGTCCCCATCAACGGACCAATCCTCTGACAGATCTGTGATCTGACGACATTGTTAATATATTCCGGCCATCGGAAGGTAGGGCCGGCTGGAGGAAGTAGGTCACCGGTGGGAGGTGGCTTCGGCTTCCAGGCCCGTCCTCTGTCTGTGTCAGCTTCCCAGTGTCCCCATAAGCTCTGCACAGTATCTTGTTCCCTAGGATCTGCTGCCTCACCTCGGTCCAAAGCTGACCTTAGACCGAAACCTCTGGAAACCTGGGTCAAAATAAACGTTTCTTCCATCAAGTTGCTTGCCTTGAGCATTTTGTCACAGCATGGAAAATTCAAACATAAGCCCTTCAGTGTCGGAGAAGGACGCCATCACCCCTATCTTACAGATGTGCTAGAGATTGGGGGTAAATAGCAGAGCTTGAAGCTCACATGTCTCTGAGGCTTCTACTTTTACTCCCAGCCTCCTTTTCCACTGACCGGCTTCTGCCTGCTTTCCCTGACCATACTGCTGTCCCTGGATGGTCTCTGATGACCACTGCATGCTCATCAAGGGATGACGACAATTGGCAGCTCACCAGGTGTGTTAGGCCCATTTAGCATTACCGCGTGATGTGTGTGTTCCTAGCCCAGCACTCTTGGCTGCAGCATCCCGCATTCCTCTAGAGAAGGGACAAGGAAGCTATCATGTCTCCTGTTTCTCTAGGCCTCACTGCAATACGATCTCCTATATGGACTTTGGAGCCTCTTCCACACTTTGGGACGGTCCTGCGAAGAGCCGTGTCAGAGGCAAAAGGGACTTAAGAAGTCACGTGATCAGAACCTTCATTTTACAGCTGGAGGCTTTCAGGCTGGGAGGCGGGTCAGCAAGATGGACAGGTGGGATGGTGTAGTAAGTGTGCTGTCATCTACCCAACCAACCTCTTGCTTAGGCCCAAGGCTTGCTTTCCCGCGTATGAGTTTGGCTAGTTGCCAACCTTTTGCTCTCCCACCCCTTCCCATGGGGCTGTCTCCACAGGCTCAGGATAAACAAACAGTAAGGAAGCCAGAAGGCGTCATTCCTAAACCCTACTTGAACCACCATGCTCATTCCCCAGGGAGGGAGAACGAAGCTCCTCTGTGCTGGGTCTGACACGGGGTGCTGCAGAACCGGAGATAGCCACAAGGTGGCAGACTCTGCATATCCTTCTTGGGAGACCTGTTGCCACATCTCGGAGCCTCAAGGGTGGCTGGAACAAGCTCAGGAAAGGGAAAGGGGTGTGGGTTCCTTTCACAGGAACCACCTTCACAGCAGGTCAAGGGCAGTTTGGAAGCAGCGGTGAATCTGAGGGAGTAAGATACTTCTCAAAGGGCCCTTTCACGCGATGCTTCCCAGTTTAATCTTTCTTCAGAGGCCAGGGAAAGTTCACAGGTGCCAGGCTGCCTTGGGCCAGGAGAGAGCTGCAGAGAGGGATGGAGGCCCCAGGCAGCAGGGCAGAAGGCCGTGACCACACCAGGCAGCCAGAGGCAGCCAATGGCTCCTGAAGAGGCCATCTGCCAGGTCTATCCCGTCATGCACCTCAGGCAGGAGGATGACACAGTGTGAAGTCAGGAGGGAAGGGTTTCCTAAACCTGGGAAGCCACCATCCAGATATTCCTGCCTCTGGGATTAAAGGTGTGTGCACTCGGCCCAGTTCTATTATTAATCTATGAGACTGGCCTCACTATGGAGCCCCTATGTTTGCTGTTGCTCTGTTTCTTAAAGCTGGCTGGACCATCCATTTTCTTATCGTTGCACCTCAAGTGTCCTGCTTATATTTTGGATACAAGTCTTTTATGAAATGTGTGCTTTACAAAATTCCTCTGTTTGTGCACTTTTCTTTTTCTTAACAGAATCCTTTTATTTTTATTTTACTAATTGTGTGTGTGTGTGTGTGTGTGTGTGTGTGTGTGTGTGTGGTGTTTGTATGGGTGTATATACGAACATGTATGTTCAAGGAAGTCAGTCGATGGCATTGGATGCCTTGGAACTGGAATGACAGGCATTTGTGAGCAACCCGAAGTGGCTGCTGCCATCCGAGCTCCCGTCCCAGGACCGAGCAGGAAGTGCGTTTAACTGCGGCAGCCATCTCTCAAGGCCAAAAGTATCTATAAAAAAATCTTAATAAAGTGCAATTTACTGGTTTTATTCTTTCATTCAGATGTCCAAACAAAAGACACCCTCCAGTTGCTGCCCTATGTGTGTGTGTGGGGGGGGTGGGGGGTGGGCACTGTTCTGGAAACAGAATGCCAGGGGAAACGCTGCCACCCAGGCCAGGCATGTGTCCGGGAGGTCTGGTGGAATGTCAACCAGAAGTGGGCCTTATGTAAGGCCTTTTTTGTTTTCTAGATAAAATCTTTTTAAGTTAAAAGTATTTATTTTTGATTATGTATAGGCATGTGTCTAGGTATGCCCACAGAAGCCAGAAGTGTGGGAGCCCCTGGACTGGAGTTACAAGTTGGGTTGTGAAAGGCCTGGGTGGGGACTGGGAAGCAAGCCCCATCGGCTACAAGAGCAGTGTGTGCTCTTAACGGCTGAGCCGTCTCTCCAGCACCAAGAGTATGGAGTTTTAGATACCTTTGGAAGCCTAGCAGAGACGATTACAGACAGTTCCCAGTCCTTCCTGTCCACTTCCACAGCGGCGGGTCCAGGGCTGCACTCCCCCCCTGGCTCTCCCCTAACTCAAGGGCATATCCTCCAGACCAAGTTTTGAGGTTCTGCCTTTTCCAGCTGCAACCTCCCACCCCCAGGCCACCTTGTCACATCTTGGTTCTCCCCGCTAGGCTTCAAGACTCACAGACTCTGTGTTTTATGACCTTGTCACTTTGGAGCTGTGCTGGCCAAGTATTTTGTAGAATGTCCCTTGGTTGGGATTTGTGTGACAGTTCTCTCAGGCTTCTACTGGCACTGTCTGACACCTTTAAAAAAATGTGTGTGCCCGTGTGTGTGTGTGTGCCCGTGTGTGTGTGCCCGTGTGTGTGTGTGTGTGTGTGTTGTATATACCACAGCATGTATGTGAAGGGCTGAGGTGATCTGCAGGAGGTGAGTGTGTGTGCGTGTGTGTGTACCACAGCATGCATGTGAAGGGCAGAGCTGATCTGCAGGAGTGCGTGTGTGTGTGTGTGTGTGTGTGTGTGTGTACCACAGCATGCATGTAAAGGGCGGAGCTGATCTGCAGGAGTGTGTGTGTGTGTGTGTGTGTACCACAGCAAGCATGTGAAGGGCGGAGCTGATCTGCAGGAGGTGATCCTCTCTCTCCACTATGTGGGTCCTTGGATCTAAATCAAGTTGTCATAAGGTGCTGTGGCAGAGCCTTTACCCACTGAGCCATATAGCCTGCCTCTGACATCTTACTTTTATTTATTATTTTATTTTTTAATTTTTCTATGAGTGTTTTGCCTGAATGTATGAACGTTCATTGCATGCATGTGTGTTGTCCTTGGAGATCAAAAGAAGGCATTAGATTCCCTTGACTAGAGTTACAGATTGTTGTGAGCTGCCGTGTGATTACTGGGGACCAAACCCGTGTCCTCTTTAAGAGCAGCAAGTTCCCTTAACCTCTGGGACATCTCTCCTGCTTCCTGGTATCTTTTTGAAAAAGCTTCATTTCAGACCTCTGACATGGGATCTTGGTGTCCTTCAACCCACAGACTTGATGGCCCCTGGGTGGCAGACATGGATGCCTCACTCACACTTCCTGTCCTCTGGCCTGGCCAGGCTGAGTCTGAGGTGGGCACAGGAGGTGCCGATCAGAAACTCTGCCACCTTGTTGCATGGTTAGTGAGAGACTAAGCGAGCATGCCATGCAGAGATTAGCAGTCCCGCTGGATTCTGCACCACAGATAATGAGCCAGAGGACACGAGACTGGGTGCAGCTGGTGCTGGAGGCATTTGCCACTCATGGGCTGTGTGGGAGGCTGTCCACTCGTGCCCAAGCATCTCCTGAATCTTCTCTAGGACAACAGATGTCAATGCTTTTGTCACAATGCCTGGGTCTTGGTGGACTGACGGCTGGATACCCCTTGCCAAGCACTCCTCCCAGGCCAAGCCCTCCTGCTCATGGCAACCACTTCCTCCTCCTCCTCCTCCTCCTCCTCCTCCTCCTCCTCCTCCTCCTCCTCCTCCTCAGGCGGGCGGCAGGGCCAAGGCTCACACGGTTAAACCGATTTTCTCCTGTTACCATGGTGGTGGGTGCACTGGCTTGGCTGTCAGAGTGCAGGTTTGAAGGGGTGTGCACCCAAGGGAGCTTCCAGCCACAAGCCAGCAAAGGCAGTCCATTCTCCCAGACCATGGGAGCCTTTCTTGGGTACCCTGACTCGTCTTGTGCTTCTGTCCTGACCTTTTCCTGAGGAGAATCTGTGGCTGGTCCTGCTGGGGAACCGGCTTCAGGTGTTCCTGGGGATTCGTGGCTGGGGAGTTTACCTGTGGGCTCAAGAAGGCATTTTGTAAGTTAGCCTAAGTCCATGGTATAATGTGCTCAATGTAACTCCTGTTCTCTGTTCCCCAGCATTGGGTCTGGAGCTGGGGACATCAGGCTGGCGAGGCAAGTGTCCTCCCACTGAGCTGCACCCTCAACCTTTGATGTAGTTATTTAAAACACTTTTTCTTTTCTAAACATTTAATTATATGTTTGTGAATTTGGGGACCAGAAGAGGATGTTGGGTCCCTTGGAGCTGGAATTACAGGCAAGTGTGAGTCACTCAGTTTGGGTACCGGGAACCTAACTCTGGTCCTTTGAAAGAGCAGGAAGTGCTCTTAACCACTAAGACACCTCTCCAGACCTTTGTTGTCTTTCTTAAGAGGAAAAACCTATTATAGAAGTCATTTTGCATGATGTATATGACAAAAACTAAGTCTAGACCTAGTTACGACCAGGGTTTTGTTCATCAAAACACTGTCTTTGGATGGAGACATTATTAGTAATGTCTGGTTTATTCTCTGTGCCCCCAGTTCCCCAAATGGAGCATATATTACTTTTTTTCAGATGGAAAGAGGAGACTACAGTGTATATCCAGCAATTCTTGGGAAACCCTTCCTGGGTACGCCTCTCCTTGTCCCTATGATCCTCTTACAGGGTCACGGAGCACTTCCAGAGTGTTGTACGTCTCCAACGACCCTGGAGAATGAGGCTGGAGGAACGGGGACTCTGAGTCTCCCAGAACACCTCACGAGTCTTCCAGGACACCCTCGAGCCTCCAGGACACACTGTGAGTCTCCCAGAATACCCTGCGAGCCTCCCTGAACCCATGGGCACAGTGTGCCTGCGAGGAGATCCTGCCAAGCTGTTCTCATTGGCTTCCTGCCACTCAAAGGCATCGCAGAACACTCATCACCTCCCATGTGCCTCAATCTACCTAGGAAACTACCCACAGCTGTGTGGCATCGGCTTTCCTGCGGCAAGGAATCTGTCATCTCTTTTGTCAGCATCTGGCCTTTTTCTTTCAGTGACAGCACCTGGAAGGCAGGAGGCACATGGATCTGAGCACCTTGGCTATGCTGACTTTCACTGTCTATGTAACTGACAAGCCATGGGACTCTGCCAGCCTTGTCTGAACACTTCTCCAGGTCATATTGCATGACTCGCATCTTCTGTCCAGAGCCAAAGTCCCTTGGGCACCTGCTGAAGGCCTCGCTCCTAGAACTCACTAGGAACAGTTTTGACCCAGAGTCCCAACAGAGGCCAGGGTCATTGCGGACATATATGGAAACCAATTACGTTCTCATCTCCCCTAACTTCTCCCTGATATTAATCAATGACATCAACAGTCCCTGTGGCTTTGTTAACAAAAAAAAAAATCATACACATTGTCATATCATCGTGGCTGGTGCAGAGATACTGAAATACTGTGTTCATTGCAACTCTGAAATCATGGTAAATGCTGACAATACTTCACTGACAATCATACATATCTACAAAAGAATATGCATATTTTATTACAAAGATTTCTCTTAAAATTATTTTGATAGCTACATTTGAGACTTTAATTTTCTTTACTTTCTCATGTATCTAATTTTAATGAACTGTTTTTTTATTTTACAGTAATATGGTCACTGGTAACATATGAATTTATTGTTTTTGAAATTGTTATTTATCTACTTATTGCTCTGTGTGTGTGTGTGAGAGAGAGAGAGATCAGAGAGAGAGAGAGAGACAGAGAGAGAGGCACACAGAGGAGAGAGAGAGAGAACAACTTCTGGACATTAGTTTTCTTCTCACACTATGTGGGTTCTAGGAATCAAAAATCATTCCCTATACTATCCCCCATTTATTCTCATGCCACATGCATGCACCACATGTATATTTAAATCTAGGTTGCACATATGAGAAACACATGCTGTGTTTATCTTCCCAAGTCTCCCTTATTGAGCAATTATCTCTAGCCCCATCCATCTGCCTACAAAGGTGACGATTTCATTCCTCTTGATGGCAACTAGAACTCCACGGTACGTACACATTTTGTCCTCTCATCTGCTGATGGAAACCTGCCCTGGCTGTTGTGAGCATGCAGCCTGCCCTGGCTATTGTTAGCATGCAGCCTGCCCTGGATGTTGTGAGTATGAATCTTGCCCTGGCTGTTGTGAGCATGCAGCCTGCCCTGGCTATTGTTAGCATGCATCCTGCCCTGGCTGTTGTGAGCATGCATCCTGCCCTGGCTGTTGTGAGCATGCATCCTGCCCTGGCTGTTATGAGCATGCAGCCTGCCTTGGCTATAGTGAGCATGCAGCTTTCCCTGGCTGTTGTGAGCAGGCAGCCTGCCCTGGCTGTTGTGAGCATGCAGCAGTAAGAAGGACTGTGCACACACTTATGCCGTGTGCCTTGATTCCTTCAGCTACATAGCAAGGAGCGGCATAGCTGGGCAATATTGTTCTAGCTTCTGTTATTGAGGAACCATAATACTGATTTCCATAATACAGGGAAAAATTCTTTTTGAGATGAGGTCTTACCCTTGTGTGGTCCAGGCTGGTCATGAACTCACACACTGCTTGCCTTTGCCTCCCAAGTGCTGTGCCTGCAGGGGTGCGCCATCATGGCCAGTAGTAATGTGCCCATCAGTGCTTGGCTGGGTGGCCTTTTCTGCCTCTCAGATCCATTGTTCTTAAAGTGAAGGTTGAGCCTGGGAGACACTCTCTAAGGGTGTTGTGACACTGTGACCGCCTCACTTCCACCCTACCATACCCAAGGGTTGCATGAGGGCAAACAGGAAGCTGAGATGCGACTTAGCAGGTTATTTTAGCCTTCATGGGATCACAGAGACTTTCTAGGGATTTGTCTGGGAAATATGAAAAACTCATCTACATATTTGTCTTCAGTAAAGAACCAGAAACTACCTAAATATCCAAGAACAGGTCAACTAAACTATCTAAAGTATATTTACATGATGCAACAGTGACAGCTGGAAATGACACCACAGAATTATGATACAAAAAAGCAGTCATTTAAACAGTTAAAAACACAAGACCATGGGGCTGGTGAGATTGATCAGGGGTTAAGAGCACTAACTGCTCCTCCAGAGGACCCAGGTTCAATTCCCAGCACCCACATGGCAGCTCGCAGCTGTCTGTAACTCCAGTTCAAGAGAATCTGACATCGTTATACCAACGCAGATGAAATAAAGTTAAAAAACAGTCATACTATATTAAAAAAAAATAAAAAACCCACAAGGCCAACCATGATACTTGAAGACCAACAGGATGTAGCTAAGTAGTAGGATGCTTGGCCAGCATGCTTGGGATTCTTATCTTCAGTCCTAAATCAACTAATCTCTCTCCCCTCCCCAAACACACACACCTCCATCAAAATGATGAAAAACACACTCATGGTGTATGTGCAGAAAAAGCATGCAAGATGTCGTAAGCCAACTTGTTAATACTGGTTCTCCCTAAGTGCCGAGATAAAAGTCTTCTTCATGTTTTCTAAAACTTCTAGAGCTAATATGCAGGTGTGTGTGGCCCTGTAATAAGAGAAAGAGCAGGCAGGCTTCATTCCAGGACTCAGGAGGCAGAGGCAGAGGCAGGCGGATCTCTGAGTTCAAGGCCAGCCTGGTCTACACAGAGATGCTGCCTCAAAGAAAGAAAGAAAAAAAAGAAAGGAGGGAGGGAGAGGGAGAGAGGGAGAGAGAGGGAGAGAAAGAGAAAAAGAGAGAGAGGGAGAGAGGGAGAGAGAGAGAGAGAATGGATGTCAAATGAAATCTCCACAGTATCTTAGATGAGGCAACAAAACATTGTTTTGGAGTCATCTCCTGCTGATCAGGCGGCCTGAGGTCCTGGAGCAGGAGACACTGAACTCCTGACTTTGTGTTCCTGTCACTCAGATGAGCACTGGTTTCTTGAGCTAGGTCCAGGGCACAAAGGCCTGAAGTCTGAAACTCTCACTCCTCCTGTCTCCCAGTAGCCCCAGCCTTGTACATGATAGCTCCCACCTGCATGTCCTGATGTCCCCACAGCCCACCTGTAGATTGGTGGCCTCCCACCTGAACGTCCTGATGTCCCCACAGCACACCTGCAGAGTGGTGGCCTCCCACCTGAACGTCCTGATGTCCCCACAGCACACCTGCAGATTGGTGGCCTCCCACCTGAACGTCCTGATGTCCCCCACAGCACACCTGCAGATTGGTGGCCTCCCACCTGAACGTCCTGATGTCCCCCACAGCACACCTGCAGATTGGTGGCCTCCCACCTGAACGTCCTGATGTCCCCCACAGCACACCTGCAGATTGGTGGCCTCCCACCTGAACATCCTGATGTCCCCACAGCACACCTGCAGATTGGTGGCCTCCCACCTGAACGTCCTGATGTCCCCATAGCACACCTGCAGATTAGTGGCCTCCCATATGAATCCCTTATGTATCCCACAGCATACCTGCAGATTGGTGGCCTCCTCAGCCCACCAGACTTCGAACTCTTTCTGCAGCTTCACCTTGGCTTTGTCCATGAGCAGCTGCAGGTGCTCAATCTCCACCTTCAAGGCTTTCAGGCGCATGAATGTTGTTTTGTACCTACAGTGGAATCGGAGAAGCTGCAGGGCACTGATGGCCTGAAGTCACCAGCATGGGAGTGCTGGAGATGAAGGTTTATGCCTTAGAAGCCTGGCAGAGCTGCCCTGGTGCTAGAAATTGGCACCTAAGAGAAATCTGCCAAGGCTAGAACATGGCACCAGGTGTTGAGTCCATCAGGGAGATCAGGGTGGGTCATCTTTTGTCCAGTAGGCACTCAGGGATTTTCTCCAAGAATGAGAACTCCCTTTCATTGAACATGTACTCAGGACAGGTGTGACAGTTGGTCCTCACTGTCACCTAGGAGACACGTGTTTCCTGAGAGCTTTAACTGAGCAGGGCTGATGTACCCTGAGCACAGGCAGCACCAGCACACGGACTTGAAGTCTGGATGGAATAAAAGGGTCAGGCAAGCTGAGTATCGGCATCCATCTTTGCTCTCCGACTATGGAGTGGTGTGACATGCCTTCCTTGCCTGGACGGACGGCACCCTTAGACCGTTAGCAGAAACAAACTCCTCTTTCCGTGCAGTTGCTTTTCCTCAGCAGTGGCAGAAGCACTAGCACACTGAGGGGCAGAGGGACAACCGAGGAGAACGCCAATGGCACGGTGTGGAAGACAGCACACGGGTGCAAGTAACACTTGAGACTTTGCTGGGAAGCTGCAAGGGAGTCAGGTGCTGGGGGTTGGCTTTGCTCAGAAGAGTGTGTATCTATGTGTGTGTGCATGTGTGCCTGTGTTGTATGTGTGCATGTATGCATGCATGTGTTTGTGTGTGTGTATGTGCATGTGTGTGTGTGTGTGTATGTGTGTGTGCATGAGTGTGGGCCTGCATTTGCATGTGCTGGGGGACTCCTGCAGCAATGCCATCAGTAGCTGTAGGCAGGAAGGTGATTTGTTCAGGACTTCCAGATCTCAGCCATGGCATGGAGGATAAAAGAATGAAGGAGCCTAACCAGGGAAATATACATATCCTCACCCTGTAAGGAAAATCACTTTGGGCCCCTGGGTATCTGGGTGAAGGCCGGAGGTTCCCAAGACCCTGGGTAAACTTTGGTAAAGCTGTGGAGTAAAGCTCACCATGGGGACTGCTTCATGGTTTCCCTAGAGCAGTGGTTCTCAACCTTCCGGATGTTGAGACCCTTTAGTACAGTTCCTCATACTGTGTTGTTGCTAATGTAAATGACTGGAACGCAGGCTGTCTGATCTGTGATCCCTGTGGGGTCACAGCCAACAGGATGAGAAGCCTTTGGATGGGGCGCTTCCTTATTCAGCATCCTCCCTACCCCGGCCCAGGCCTTGCTTAGGCTACTCCTCGCCCCTCCTGCGTTTGAGGTTCCAGGCTGGACCCATTTCCTAAAGGGAAGCCGGAGGTCCCAGGGAGGCTCTAGGTAGGACCTGGAGGTCCTGGGGGGTTGGGGTCAGGATGGGTGTGGCAACAAACACACAGAAACAACCGGCAGCTCACCTGGTCTTTTCCTCTTCCAGCTGTGATCGCAGTTTCTCTTCCTGGAGGTCAGGTATGGAGGGTGGGGCCATATTCTCTGAGATTCCTGGAGGAGGAAGACGCCAGTGAGTTACGACAACAACGAAAGTAGGAAAAAATGTGGTGGGACCAGTAACAGAGTTCAAGGGCATCCGAAGTCGAAGGGGTCCTGGGAGTTCCTTCAGGGGCCTCTGGGTGGCAGCCTCGGCTTGGCTTCAGAACCACCTCCTCGGCTCTCCCACACCCGATATCTGTCACTGCAGGGGATTGTCCCCCTCCCCTTTTCTTCCCTGCACTCATGGCCTCTGGGGTCCCCAGGGAAGAGGCGACCGCATGTCCGCATTGGAGAAAGAGCCCTTTCCAGAAGGAGAAGAGCGTGGCTCTGACTGGCTCCCCGTGTGTGCTCCCGCTGACTGTTCTCCGCCTCCATAGAAGGTAGAGGTTTTCAGGCTCATCACTGGAGGTGATAAGAGTTTGTATCCTCTGTGACCAGAGACAGAGCCAGTGTCCAGGCCTGGGGTAGCCTCAGCTCTTCAGTGGGACTGGCTGGTGGCTGTGACCTGCCTAGATGCTGACTCCTCTGTGTGTGTACCTGGCTGTAGCTGGGGAGCCCCAGGTACCCTCCTAGCTCATCTGCTGAACCTCTGGTGGGTGAAGGTTGTCTGCCACTGGGCAGTGCTTCTTAGTCAAGGCAGAGACACCGCAAAGCCCAGCCAAGTGAAGTCCTCTCCTGCTTCCCTCTCCCTCCCCACTCCACCCCTGCCCTCCAGCTCATGACCCCCCTGCCACCTCCCTCCCCACAGAGTAAAGGTGCCAAACCTTCCCCAAAGAATAAAGGCCCTCCCTGCCACAGAATGAAGATCTCTCCCTCCCCCAATCCTGCTCTATCACCTCATCCCCAAACCCTGTCCTCCAGTCCATTCGATCCCTGAACAAGATCAGACTTAATCCTGATGACAATTATTTGAGGTAGCATCACCTCTGCCTTACTGGCCTTACTGATGAGACTTAAGGAGGTGAATCTGTCAAGTCCTGTGGCTAACTTCCAGATCTTGGGTGCGGATCCCCATTTATGTGGGTGCCAGTGTCCTGGGTTCAAATCTCCTTCTAGAACATTTTATTCAATGATTACCATTGTTATTATTATTATTATGTGTGCGAAGTACATATGTGTCATGGCCTACAGAGAGAGGTGAGGAAACTTTATGGAGTGGATTCTCGCCCTCCATTTAAACCATGTTTCAGGGATTAAACTGAGGCTTGTGTATCAAATGCCATCTCGCCAACCTAACATTTCTGGGAGAAGACCATTTGCTTTCTGTTGCAGTGGCTGGCAGCTGCATACGAAGACATGTTTCATAGGGCCCAGCTATTTCCACCGACTTTGTTCCCACTCATGTCTCCTTTCATCTCCCATCCCTGCATGGGTTTGCTGGAGCAGCATAGGATGTCTTTTCTACTCTGAAGGTCCTTTAAAGACTCAACAACACCACACATGAGTCTGGGGTCTCATTCACAGGCTGGCCCACCCATTTCCTCATGTGGAGGTTCAGAGACCTTGTTATTGCCTAATTACCTCATTTAAAAAGCAGAGACCTGGTCTAACATCTCATCTAGGGTGAGCGGTGCAGGGAGGAAAGGGGCTCCTTCCAGCTGTTAAATACACAATTCAGGCCAGAGAGATGGCTCTGTGGGTAGTGCACTTGCCAAGAAGGCAAAAGGACCCGAGTTTGACTCCCCCATAGGCATGGAAAGCTGGTGCCATAGTGGGCATCCTGGGGGGGGGGGGTAAGATGGAAACTGAAGGCGGAGTCGCTGGAGGCTCACTGTCCAGCCAGCCTGGCATCCACAGAAGCGAATGACAAAAAGAGGGGCCTTGTCTCACACAAGGCAGAAGGCCAGGAAGCTCAAGCTTGCCTCCAACCTCCACCCTCATGTGTGTGGCACGGCATGCACCCATCCACATTTGTACCTGCACACATAGTGTGTAGGCATGAGTGTGCGCACGCGCGCGCGCACACACACACACACACACACACACACACACACACACAGAGAGAGAGAGAGAGAGAGAGAGAGAGAGAGAGAATGTTCTCAGTTGGACGTGGTGGCTCACCCTTGTAATCCATCATTTGGAGGCTGAGGCAGAAGGATCTAAGTTTGAGGTCATCCCAGGCTTCATATTGAGATTCAAACCAGCTGGGGCTATAGGAGACCCTGGATCAAACAAACCCACCCTCCAGAAACCCCAAGTAATTCAGTCTATTTCTTTAGCAGGTCAGTTACTAATGCTAGCTACTTACTGAATGCCCTCTCTCTGAAATGCTATGCCAAGTTCACTAGGCGCATGGCAGGCCCTCTATGCACCCCCAAGTCCTTAGAATAGTCAGGCACGGAAGGCAGCACCAACTCATAGCAGTTAGACTTCTTTTCCTGGTGCTCCATAAACAGCGCAGGCCAAACAGCTTGGAAGGGACAAAGCTGAGGTGTGGACTGAGCAAGAGTTTGTGCAGCTCTCTCCATCCTGGTCTGTGTGGCTCTCTGTTAAGACTGTGGTTAGTCAAAAGCCTCTGTGCTCTTCACAAGTGGTGGCCCCAGTGTACCCTGCCCCGGCAGGCTGACACTTCGGTCCCACTTACAGGGACTCTGGCCCCCCGTCTGTCTGCGGAGGTTTGCTCTCCTCTTTCCCTCCTCACTGCTTCAATGCTGCATGGACACATATGCTGAGTGGTCACTAGTCTGTCTTTTATCTTTGCAAAAGCAATTACCCTCTCTTCCCTGCACTAGGCAAGCAGGTGTCTTCTGTCATCAGCTGAAGATGACGCTCTCATCCTGCGGGGGCATTTTATCAGCCTTATGAGGCAGAATGCTGGTCTTCATTACCCATGTTCCTCCGTGGCCTCCAGGTCACAGGCACAGGGAGCTTGAGAGCTGGTGAGTGGAGCCCTTCTCTTTTCTGTGTCTCTCCCTGGAGCCCTGTCTAGAGGCTTTGCACAGGACACACTGGATTCTGGGTTTATTTGATGTCCGTCTTTGAAAAATGGCAGATGTGAAACACAGAAGGTGGTGTATTAACACTAAAGGACAGTGGGCCTTTAAATGGTCAGGGCACTTCCTTCCCCAAGAGTTCTGGGCCCAGAACTCTGCCTCATCTTCCTCTCTTAACGCCTTTGCCTTTGACCGAGGACAAACCAAGGGCACAGAGGGATTGAAGACAGCCTGCTCTGGAGTGACAGCTGGGGTACTGGGGCCAACAGAGAGGCTTCAGATGAAGGGTGACGGGAGGGCTCTGGTTTTTATGGGAGGCAGCGTCCAGGACTGTGAGGGTGACACAGGACCTGAAGGGGACTCAGTCCCAGCATGTGTTCACGGCCCTACTGCAGGAGGCAGGCTCCTGCCTTACTCCAGGGTGCGTGGTGGCTTCCGTGGGCGCACTGCAGGTGTGTGAGATGTCCAGGAGCTACAGGTCCAGGCGATCATTCAGAATGTGTCTGACACAGAATAGAAGGCTAACATCAGCTACTGCTGGTGCAGCCCTGGGGGCCAGGTCAGTGTGTGCCATGTCATTCATTATCTTCACCACAGCGGGTTCTGTTCCTCTACTGAGTGGATTAAGGACCAGCATGGCTAGGTGAAGTGTGCAATGCCACAGGGCTCCCTAGGATCTCTGGTCCTTCCTTCACTGGTTTAACAAATGTTTCTAGACATACATGCATGCATGTATGCATACATACATACAGTGTGTGTTTCATGGTGTGCACGTGAAGGAGGTCGGGGGACAGCCTGAAGAGTCAGTTTTTTCACCTTATCAGATTTACACACAGCAAGTGCCATTACTTACAGAGATTTATCACTAGCCCCTCAAGAAATGTTCATTTAGCATTGGCAGTGGGCCTGCCCCATTCCAGAAGGGTTAATTTTAGTGCTGAAGATGAACCTCAATCAACAACAACAAAATTAGGTCTGCAGTATAATAGGTTGGAAGACAAAACTGGACAAAAATACGGAGTGTGTGGAGTGATGTCTTGGTTAGCTGCTTGGCAGAGGAGATAGTAGGGCAGAGACCCGCAGAAACTAGGGGACTGAGAAGCACATGAAGGGCTTGGTGAGCCTACTTGGTGCCTATGAGGGGCAATGCGAAAGCCTGTGTGTCTGGAGAAGTGGGTAAGGCAAGGGGCAGCAGGAGCCGAGGTCAGTGAGGAAACCAAGCTAGAGTGCTTGGTCCCACAGGCGATGTAAGGACGCGCTCACTGAGACCCATGGGGAGCTGAGAGAATCACAGTGGGCTGGGTGGCTTGATTTAGTCCCTCACAGCGGATCTGAGACAAAGCTATTCTTCAGCAAGGAGCAGCTAATGTGGGGCAGTGCTAGGTTCTCTAAACTTGTTGAAAAGATCTGGAAAAGAGGCTGGGACGAGGGACCTCGGGCGGCTGGGATGAAGGCACAGCGTCCCTGAGACACAAGCTACCCACATTGTCCCAGATGGGCTTGAGGCCAAAGGTGATGTTTGTTTTGTAGACAGCATTGTGACCCAGCAGGAGACGGGAGACAGCCCCTGTGAAGAGGAGCCTGGGCTGAGAAGTCAAGCAGAAGCAAGTACAACAGACAAGCAAGGACGGAGGGGGAATAGAAAAGACATTTGGGCTTGTAGGTCTTTGTTCCCACTGGGCCCTGGCATGGACAGAACCCCCCAGCCACCTAAGAGGGTAGGGGTTTTCTTTCAAAGACAGGATTCTGGCTGGGACAGCAGCACAGGAGGGGTTATCCCTGAGTGACCTGTGAGGTCACAGTACTGAGCAGCCAGCTCCAAAGCAATACAAAAAAAGCAAGAAGAAAGGGTTCAGTTTTACCCTGGTGGCTCTCTGAATGTCACACAAGGAGGTAGCCCTAGGCAGCCAAGCAGCAAAATCAGGAAGCCAGAGGGTAGGGCACTCGAATCCTCCATTGCTGGGAGACCAGCCAAGACATGGCAGCTTCTGCCTGAGCTGGTCTACTGGGGAGGTGGCTAGCTGCCCTTTCTGCTTCCCCACAATCCCCCACACTCTACAGCTGCCAATGCCTGAACTG